GTATGTATGTATGTATGAATGTATGAATGTATGAATGTATGAATGTATGAATGTATGTATGAATGTATGTATGTATGTATGTACGTATGTATATGTGTGCATGTGTGCAGGTATGTAGGTCTGCAGGTATTATGTTACTTTCTGCTGTGCTATGCCGTGCAATGTCATATGTCATATGCTATATGTTATATGTTATATGATATATGTTATGCGTTATATGTTATATGTTATGTTATATGTTATATGTTATATGTGTTATGTTATGGTATGTTGTGCAATGTTATGTTATGTTGCTTGCGTCATGTAATGTTCTGTACCTTCTTGCGTGATGTTATGTGATGTTGTGTGGTGCTATGAAATGTAATGCAATGTAATGTGGTGAAATGTGATGTTTTGTAATGTAGTGTAATGTAATGTGACATGATGCATAGGGTTGCTGGAAGAGTTAATGGAAAAGTGGAAGCTACTGTTTAGGGTTTAGGGTGTAAAGTTCGGGGTTTGGGGGGATATAGCCCTAATAATGGAAAATCAAATGGGAAAAATGGAACATGAAATGGACACTGAGGTCATAAAAAAAAAAAATGAATCATAGGGAGTAACGTTTTGAAAACTACGGTGATTTTTGGGAATCCTTATAATGACGATTATATAAAGTATAGGCCACGGGTATCTAACCCCCCAAGTAAGCTTGACGCCGTCACCGTGCACTGATGGCCCTCTAACAACCCTACAAGCAACATCTTCAAAGCAATCCCACAGAATCCAGAAGTCAGCTGGAGGGCTGCTGTACACCGGAAACCCTAAACCCCAAACCATGAAGCCTAATCCCCAAACCTTAAACCCCAAACCCGAAACCTGAAATTCTTAACCTAAACTGAGTGATGCCAAAGCTGACAGGCGAGGTAGCTTAAGAGCCAAAAGCCCTCCGGCGCTCGCCTCCCAGAGCCTCCTGCCGGCCTCTTTCTCAAGACTTCCCAGGCCCTCCAGCCTCCCAAACACTGCCCTCAACCGTTTCTCCGGTATCCTTTCAGGGCCCGAAATGGCAAAGTGGGTCTCGAATTTCCGCTTGTGTGCCGCAGACCAACACAAGGCAATTTCTAACTGGAAACGGGCCGTTTCTGGACCATCCCCCCTTCTGGAACCCGAAATGGCAAAATCGGCCTCGAATTTTAGCTTATGCGCCGAAGACCAAGAAAAGGCAATTTCGAACTGGAAACGGGCCGTTTCCGGACCAGCCCCATTTTGGGGTTCTGAAATGGCAACATGGGTCTCGAATTTCTGCTTGTATGCCGTCGTCTAAGAAAAGGCTATTTCTAACTGGGGACGGGCCCCGAGCCAGACCCGGATCAAACCTTGCACCCGCCGTGTCCAAGTGGCTTGATGGTCTCCAGCCAAGGCTCCATCATAAACGAAAACACGAAGCCTCCAGCCGACCCAGCCCAAACCTTGCACCGATTGAGGCGTCCAGCCAAGGCTCCATATGAAGAAAACTAGAGGCCTCGAGCCAAACCCAAACCCAAACCTTGCACCCGTCAGGTCTGGACAGGCCCAACACGTTCGAGGCTTGAAGGCATCCAGGCGAGGCTCAATTTCAGAAAGCACAAGAGCCTTTAGCCAGACCCAGCCCAACCTTGCACCCGAGTGGACTAAACAGGCGCAAAAAACAAATAAGAAGATAGGAGCGCGATCAAAGTTCGAGAGAACCCTCAACCCGGAAAAGGTCGACGCGAGGATGAAGCCCCAGCGGGGGTGGGCGCATCCAGTTCGGGGCGCGCGCCTGGGTGCTTGCAGCACCAGCGCCCCTCCTCCATGAGACACCCTAAGACCCAAACCTTGAGCCCCAAGCCCTAAACCCCAAACTCAAATCTGATTCTCTGAATGGAATGCGCTTCAGGATCTTGGGGATGAATGGGTAGCTGCGAAGCTGCGACTTGGGTCTGCACCATGGTAGCCACGGCAAAGACCGCCGGCCAGTAGACAGCCAGGAAATCCTGGTTAAGTGTTTACGGTTTAGTGTGCTTCTCCTGTTCGGCCACTGCATCATGATGTGGGAGGCAGATGGGGAGTATGCCCCACTGCTACATAGACCAAAGCTTCCTTGTGCTCCATTCTGAGCCCAGGTCCCCAATAATAGATACCATAATACTCATTATAGGAACCCTAAACCCTAAACCCTTTATAGGTATCCCTGAAAAACGGACCCCGCATTGGAGGAAACCCCGGATGCTTACGTCTAGAGCGGCTCAAGTTCAGCGCTCGGGGAAGCCATCCTGTGATTCTCAAGAATATCATTCTGGGGTTCTTAAGGTCCCCATGGATTTTTTGGAATTGTAGGGGTCCATAATTCTGTAAGGATTGTACAGGACCGTTTTCGCAAAAGCTCATCTATGCCTGTCAGAACACGCGGGCTAAATACCCGTCAAAACTGTATACAAACCACAAAAAGAGACCCGTGAATTTCAGAAACCCACACAACAACATCATTCCCACTGTTGCTAGTGAAAGTCCTGCATGACCCACTGCCCAGGCAGAAATGATCTCATCATTCCTATCCTTGTGCGGTGGGTCTGCAAAGCCCCCAGCCTTCATGTTGACGTCGCTCGGAAACTATCGCGATAGGTGCGCGGACTCCGATGGTTGTCGCTTGAGGTTAGGAGTCCTGCTTAATTAAGGTTGCTGATGCGGTAAAGATCTGGATTACAGTCAAAGAAGAGCTATATCCTTGTATTGAAAGCTGGGGTTGTACGACTCTGCTCAGGAGTGCAAGCTTGCAAGGCAGATGGTGGCTAGAGTCCCTAACGTCTGTAGCAGTTAGACGAACATGCTTCAGCAACCTGCTTCGCACAGCTGTTGGACTTGCTCGTTTCTTGTGTTGGTGCATACATGCTCATGGGAGCCAATATGAGCTTGGTGACACATGGCCTGCATGGTAAAACAGCGCCCCTGCTTATCCTTGCAAAACGGGCATATCACGTGGGGAAACTTTAAAGCGTAAGCGGAAGATGCAAATCCATATGTGGTATGTAAGGTCCCATGTGTACATATGTAGATTCATACGTACGTATAACAACACCCGCACACACCTACATCTCCCCCAATTCATCCCCAACTCACTGGCCCTTGCTTTTGACTTGAAAACCAAGGAAAACTCGTTGCACAACAACATAAGAAAGTCCATTCCCGCAAAAGAAACCGAAGAATCGCATCTACATCCGCATAACCCGAGCTTCCATTTCATATTCCAGGGGCTTGTCCATTTGATTGTCCGTGGCTTGGAGGATCCCCCAAGCTCCCATAATCCGCTGTCTCATACCAGGCTCAGGGTTTCGGGTTAGGGTGTTGATTTCATCTTCCATGTTCTTGTCCACTCAACTCTCCATTACTAAAGAGATCCCTAATGCGGACCTAGAAACCCCTATCCCTCCGAACATCCACATGAGCGCCGGCGTTTATTTATTACCTGGGCCTTATGCAACATTTTGTACTCCACGGCCCCTCATCTCGTTCGCCTTCTGTTTAATCTTGTATTGTACCTTGACAAAATTGCCTGATGTCGTTCGCCATATTGGAACATGTACTCTTGTTGCAAAAGAAACTGTGGCCTATCTCCTTCAATCCACGACCCCTATCTCGTTCCCAGAGGGACGCTGCAGTCTCCACTATTCTAAGTATATCTTTTCCCCCTTTAATTCTTCACTACATATTCTTGTAAACCCTAAACCTAAAAACCCTAACTTTTTACAGATTTCACTGAGCCCCACAACCTGCGGATCCCGATGAAACCTTCTTTTCGTAACGTTTACCCAGAAATTTGCAGCTTCATGCAAACCCTAAACCCTAAACTCTAAACCCTAACCGTAAGCCCTCTAAACCCTGAACCCTAAACCCTAAATCCTAAATCCTAAACCCTAAATCCCTAAACCCTAAATCCCTAAACCCAAAATCCCACGGAAACCTTAACCGCAGGGACCTAGACTTTGCAACTTCATGCAACTTCATTAGACTGGGTTGCTGTTAAGGA